CTGGGCCCCTGATTGTCTTATAAGTAGAATCTCTTGGCTGCTCTTCCTGATAAACTTTCCATGGGTGATGATTTCAATAAAATAACATACCATTCTTACCCTTTTTTCCAACGTAGTCGAGACATTCCTCTTGTAATCTCTTATCGTGAGTTAGCTGATTTATTTCTGGTGTTGGAATGTACACATTGGAGTACTGAAACACAATTGGTATACATTTGATTAACCCTTTCCACCCTAACATTTATTTGGTATCAATATTCTCCACACTGTTCTCACTACATTTTCTATAGTAATGACAAGGAGAATTTGTGTGATAATCAGGAGCTTCTTAAATTGGTGATCATTTCCATTATTCTCATCACCTTCATACTTGATTTAAGGGTGATTTTGTGTGGAGAAATTAGATGCCAGTCACTCTTAGAAGTCAAAGGGTTGAATGAAGTTGGATCAAATATCACAGAAAAAAGACGAAATACTGGTAATGTCAGATTGTTGACTTAACGTGTTTCAGCACTAGTAAGAGTATTCTAAATTTTTGTGTGATAGAGTTTAGGTCCTTGGGATGCTACAGTGCTGTGCTAGAACACATGAATTGGCAGTAAACAAAATATGACAATACTTGCCTGAAAAATAGGAATTAGCTTCACCACTTTATGCTGACTGTGAAATAAAAGAACAGTTGTATCTTTAAGATTTGAATAAATTGCTCAGGTTACTAAAAACCATGATTTAATTATGGGGGCAATAAATATGAAAGTTTCTGTATTCTAATGAAACACCAGGAAGAATTTTCTCATTCTAAGTTCAAATGGCATAAAGAAAAAAGAAACACCTGACCAACTCTGCCTACCTTTGTAACAAAAAATTTGACTAGCTACATATCAGAGACCTTTTTGATTGATTTTTTTAAATTTACTCTAGATTGCAACACACTTTGCCAGTGATTGGTCTAGTAAACTCACACTACTTTCTAAACCAATCAGATGAAAAACATAACCCAATCAAGACTTGGTCACCAACATTTTCGCACACTTTAGGCTGTTTGGTCAGTCTTACTTTGAGTTCTCATTGACTGTGAAAGATTAATTCCTTTCTTCCAATTAGCCCTGGTAATTGCTTTAGTTATGGTTTCATGACACTCAATTGAAAAGTGCTCTATTGAAAGTTTAGCATCAAACTCAAACATACTCATTAAAAACAAAAACAAAAAAAGTTGCTCATACACCATATCCTGGATGCACATTCGCACAAGACTAATCTCAACATCTGCTTCACCAGCAATTCTTTGGACATGATTGAAACCATCAATATATGGCAGAATCTAGGATAATGAAATATTTCAGTCAAACTGTTAGCAGCTAATAGAAACCTTGAATACAAATTTCCAATAAAAAAACTAAAGTGTCATTGGCTCTCAGCAGTTGTTAATGAAAAGGTGTCGCGAACAAAGTCCTACAGTGAGCAACGTTTGATGAAACATAAATTTCTCCCTACGTTTCACAGGGAAATACATGACAATCTAAAAAGGAGAATCTACAGGTCAGGGTGTAGTAGTCTATAATAGATCACTTCCTGTTTTTTGTTTTTTTGGTTTTGTTTATGTATCCTCTCATTTAAGATAACTAAACTCCTTTCTCCTTCTGTTGTCTCCTATGACATGTTGTAAGACAGTGTTAAGTATAAAGGAAAGATACCAAGATTATTGACCTGTTGTGTTGTAATATCCCACTCAGAAGATGTCAAAGCATCCTTATTACAAATGAACACTGGCACTTGATGATCCAACACTGAGTAAGATTCAGTGCTAGAGGTTACATTGCATTTCAGATGAATAGTGTTAGTCTCATCTAAAGGAAAAGAAGGAGAAAGAGTTGACAACAGAAAAAAGGTTAAGTTTCACAACATAAAATGGAAGTTACCTCAAAACACAGGAAAATGCTACAGTAAGTACCTAGAACTTTAAAATTTTCTAGGGAAGACTTTTCTAAACTAACCATTTGGTACAATATTTTAATGAAACCAGTGGACTTAATAAATAGACCATGCATTGTGATCTCCTGGGTTAATACACTGATTTTGGCTGGTGATAGTCTTTGGAAAATGTATAAAGGGGGTAAGTTTCTTAACCCTTTAACTCTCAAGATCCAATTGCCAGTTCTTCCCTCTGGCTGCTAAACATATCTTTGAAGGTTATTTATGAGGATTTGATGCTTGATCAAGATAATAACTTCTACCAGATAAGTTTGGGTATTCTCATTACCTGTTTGCTAGATAATGTATGAACATTGTAAAGAGAAGTTACGTAATAATCACCTCTGGGAGTTACAGGGTTAAGAAGCTGTGGTGCTGCATCGGTGGGAGAGTATAACAGGGTAATTTAGTATTATCAACTGAGTTGATAACATAAATTGGCCACTGTAAAGAGTTTCAAAGCTCTGACATTGCATCACTATGACAAAGGGCTAATGCTTGAAATATCAGCTTTGAAACTCTTTACATTGGCCAAATTAGGTTATCAACTCTGTTGATAATTAACAATTGGTTCACATGTCAGCATGCATTCATCGAGATATGAAGCACGTGGGAAGTTTGGAGACCACGAAAGATGCGTAAGAGAAGCTTGAGGTGTAGCAGAGAGCAACTCTAGCTTCTTGAGTGCTCTTCAAACTTCCCAAGTGCTTTATATCTCGATGAACACACAGCTGACGTATGAACCAATTGTTTTATAACATTTTCAACCCGATGGAAAATCTCTCCTCTTGAGGGATTTGTTTGCTGACATCACGAGCGTACACACATGCATGCTCATGCAATTGAATTTGATTAGACAAATTTACTAGCTATGTTACAATATTTAATTACTTTCATTCTTGCTTATTTATTCCAAATTGCACTCAAAATAATCTGATTTACTGACACAAACTCTTTGAAAAGAGTGCGCCTTTGACAGCAGTATTTGGCTCATTAAATCAGCAAAAAATAATTTTACCTATTTGTATTGTACATTTTCCATTTTTATTGAGCTCAACAAAGATGTCTGAAAGTATGGATGGAAGAGAAGTTTTTGTTTCCTCTTGTGATATTAGTCCATACTCAAGCTGAAAGGAAACAACAAACATACAAATACAAATACAAAGACTTTATTAACCCTCCTTAAGGGGGATCTTCCTAATAAATTTACATCAGGATACGAAGAATAATACACTAGAAATTTACAAAGTAATATTAATATTAACTATCAGAACAATTATATTAGTTAAGGGTAATAATGATTAAAACTAGCTATTTAAAAACTTGGACAATAAATATTTCTTTAAATTAAACTTAAATAAGTTTAACAGTGGTCCAAACTCTTGCTCTCTGATGTATAAAGGACTGTTGTGCGAATGAGGTGCTGCATTTTGGTAGGCTTAAGCTGTCTGTTCCTAGTATTATATCTATGCACCTTAGAACAAATATGATAAGGCTTGGTCAAATACTGGGGAGCAAAGGTGTTCCTGATTTATACATCATTTTAGCCTCCATAATGTAAAGAAGGTCAGGTATGGAAAGAAGCAAACAGTTCAGTTCAGTTAATAGATGAATGGATTGAGGGAAACTGTCAAATTATCATAAAATATTTTTCTTCTCTCAACCCTTTAACCCCTTAGAGTGACTAGCAATTAATTTCTCCTTACAATATCACCCCTGAATCACGCATTAAGGTTGCAAGAATATAGAAAATAATCACCAACTAAAGACGTTAAACAAATTCTCCTTTTCAGCACCTTAGGTCATGTATGGAGATCAATAAGGAGAATATACACACTGATATTAATGTGTAAAGGGTTCATTACCTCTAGTGATGTCATATATCCTGCCAATTTCTTGACCACACCCTCAAAGCGAATTGTGTCAACAGTAGGGCGGAGAACAAAACATACATTGAAAACAAGGGCATTTCGGGAATACTTGGCATTTTCTATACTGATTGGACAACCAACAAACTTGTGATCAAGAGCATTCCTAAAAAAAAGGAAAAATAAAAAATTAATAAAAATCCTGATTTTACAATAGGAAAAGAATTTTATGCCCTATCTAACTTCAACTAGATTTTAAGAGTCATGACATCTAAAGTATTAATTAACATTTACAGGGATGTAGCTAATGTTTTTAACAGGCGGGAATCTTGCAATGATAGGCGGGTATTTTGGCCAAAAGCCCACTCTAACGTGCCTTTGGCATGCTATACCTAGAATTGAAGGTGTAAAAAAATGAAATAAATAAATAAACATTTTGGAGAAAGAAGTAGTGCTTCACAGCCGGAAAAATCACGTTCACAGCCGGGTAATTTTCCCGGCTTCCGGCTATTATCTACGTCCCTGCATTTAAGAGAAAATTGTTCTGGCAATAAAAAACAAGTATGAAGGAATCGTCCCATAAATTAATTTATAAAACTGTCTTTACAGCAGCTGTGATAACTGATGGATGATATGTCTGGTACAGTATGTCCCCTCTTCCCCCCCCCTCTCTCCTCACCGTTTTCGGATGAGCGAAAACTACCTGTAGAGTGAGTTACTAACTTACACTGTGATCAGTTTGCTCTGCAGCTCAGGTTTCGGGATTATGTACACAGCTACGCAATCAAACTCCTCCTTTGAGATGAATTCTTCTGGGACCTGAAAGTCGAGAAGATTAGGAATATTTGGGCTTTTCAAGCGACCGCAATCAGATCAGTTCAAGCTCGGCGAGTTAAGTGTCAAACATTTAACCTGGTAAACGATTTTAGGTCCTGCAATAGGATGGAATTCACAGAACAAGATACACTCTAGGTCTCCACTGCTATCCATGGGGGATCATATGATTTTAAAGTATTTCAGCTCCGTAAACTACAACGTTTTTTTTCGGAGGCTGAAAAAGTCTCGCCGATAGCCTCTTCCGCCATAGTTGTTTTTAGTTTTAGTAACCAGTCCCTACTCGTCTAAACAGTGAGCGCGAAACTTGAGCGAACATGGCAAATAAAATGGCGGCTCACTCTGTGCGCAAAGTACACGGGCTTTTTTATGTGGAAATTTAAGTGATTGTGAGGTTTTTCGAAACTTTTAGCTAGGTGACTATGTTTGGGCTATTTACGAAGCTTTCGGAATACGTTTGGGGAGCATCGGAGGATGAAAATGGCGACGCTTCCAAAACGGGAGCGCGGAATAAAACAGCTGATTACAACGGGAAGCTCAAAACAACTGAGCCGCAATTAAAGAAAGACCTCTTTGGTAAAGTGACCAGGCTGTATGATGGCTCTGGAGTGATAGATGAAGAGATTTATTTCACTTTTGATTGCATTATCGGTGGTGATCGACCAGAAGTTGGAATGGAAGTTCACGTCGAGGCGTCACGCGTGTCTGAAACTTCTGGCTGGAAAGCTACGCGTATGCAAGTTATGAAGGAATGGAATCTCGAGGACGCAAACAGCGCCTCTTCATCTTCTACAGAAACGTGTATTGGCGCAATAACAAAAATCGCTCATGATTCTGGGGTTGTAGATAATGAAATTCATTTCCCACTATCGTGTGTTAGATTTGGGTATACACCATTTCAAGGAGACATGGTGAAGTTGGACCTCGAGAAATCGTCAGATGGGCAAGACGAAGTCCAAGGGGTGATGCCACTCCGAGAGAAAAGTTTCAAAGGGACGGTAACATATGTGTCATCAGGGTTTGGTTACGTTGACGAAGAAGTCTTCTTTACAATTGGGGTTTGTCCGCGGGGGTTCAGGCCTCGTCGAGGGGATGTTGTTAAAGTGACAGCCATTGAATCACATCAACGTAATGCTGCATGGAGAGCCATTAAGGTGGAACCAAGACGTGCAACTCCAATGGTGTCAAGGTATTTTCAATTTCGGTTTTTTTAAGGGCTTTGGGTATCAAGTATTACAGTTGATCCTTTCTGAATGCATATTTCTTTCCAACCGAGTTTGAGGCCAGTACGGTAAATTATAGGCTCAGATTCATGGCCCAAGTGTGAAATGCAAAGGCCATAAATTGGAGTAGAAAAATCAAGGCTCCATAGCTTGCCATATGGATGGAGATGATGAAGTATTTATAGTAATATACATGTGTGTTTATTATGTCTTGAGGTTGAAAAATTTTAATTCTCTGCATACAATTTATATGATATTAGTTTAGAGAATTTGGGATTGGATCAACCAATAATCCCTTAATTGATATTTTTCTTTATTCTCATCACTTGTCTTCTTGATATTATACTGATTGTGTAAGGAGAAATTCTCTCTAGGTCACCAGTAGGACTTAAAGGGTTAAGCAGCCGTTGTTACCTTTTACTGAGTCTTAATGGCCTGTTTGTATTGATCTCTACCTGTACTGAGCAGTGATTTACTGTAAAGCAGAATCACTCAACTAAAACTAAAAATAGTATTCAAATATAATAAATCCATGTTTGTCTCCCAAAATTGATGGTAGTAGTGTGTTTGAGAGAGTTTTTATACATTTAATGGTCAATTATGGCAAAAAAAGGCATTTTTAATTTTTTTTTTTCGTAGTACCCCTTTGCTGAGGAACCTGTAGTGGGCGACCACTTAACCCTTTACACCCTAACATCAGTATACAATTTCCCCACACTGTTCTCTATACATTTCCTATGTTACCTATAAGGAGAATTTGTCCAACAATCGTGAGTGTCTTGGGTTCATGATTATTTCCTTAATTCTCATGACCTGAATGTTTGACTTAGGATTGGTATTGTTGGGAGAAATTAGAAACTTGCCACTCTTAGTGGCTTAAAGGTTAATACAGGTTTGACTGTAATTTTGTGTTATCAACTGACTTGATAATATAAATTGACCTTCATGAAGTTTTTATGAAGCTTACATGTTGAGTGTTAGCTTTTTGTCAGCCTGAAGGGAAATTCAATCAAGAAACTGCCTATAAGTAAACTTTCAGTGGTCAGAGGGTAAGAGGATGCTTCAATTGATGCTCAGAGTAATGATCCAAGTGGATTTATCTTGCATTGTAGAATTTTTACTGATAATTATTTATTTTATCAACCAGTCCATCACCACATAGTCAAATGTTTATGGGTAATAGGATGGCTGAGCTTTTGAGAGACAAAGAAGGTCTAACAATTTCAGATCAACTTGATTTTGGAAGTGTTATGGTTGGAGAGACAAAGTTGTTACATGTGTGGATAAGGTAAGGACAGTTGAACGGATGTCTTGAGTTTTAGACATTCACGAACTTCAATCCATGACTCAAATCATAGACATCCCCAAATTTTTGTAAGACCAAAGGTGCCATCTTCAAGGAAGTCTGAAGACATGCCTTTTGAGAAGATTATTAGATTATTAACCTTTATATTCCCAAGATCTCATTTCTAAGTATTCCTTACTATCTGCTGTGCAATTCTTCAGATGTTTGTCTGGAGAATTTGGTATTGTGTCCTCTAACAATCCCCCACTAGATATTTCTCTTTATTCCTATCACTTGTCTGCTTGATATTCAAGGCTTTCAATAATAGTGGGTTAGTGGCCGTCTGCTGCTATTGATAAAACCTTTTGACGCCGTCTGTTTAGCCTGCAAGCATTCTCCTTTGTTTGGGTTTCACCTTACAGCCCCTGTTCAGTTTTCTAAGAAATTTGCCCCCTTTATTCATTTATCTTGGAGTCTTAATTTACCTATTAATTTATCTATTTTTCTTTTGTAACAGCAACAAGGGAGATAAAGTACAGACATTTCAGTCCTGTTCATCAATCAGAGATGATCCTCAGTTTTCTGTTCAATTGGCAGACAAAATTTGTTGCGAATCAGATGATAATGGCAGTCATCAGCAAAACAGATCTTTGTCCATTGATGAGATGTTACTTCACAGTTCTTTGTTGGCACCAGGCATGGAAATTAATCCTCAGCAGGCCAAGCAAGTTATTGTTGAGCTCAGGGCAAAGTAAGAGGATGTTTGTTTACTCACAATAATTAATCAAATAAGTATATTTTTCATTCTATGGTATTTTGAGCTGTTTTAAGGAATATGTTTTGATAGAATGAAGCCTGTAATTTTGTTTATCAGGGGTGAACAAATGTCAAAGATTGTATACAGGGAAGGGATGGTGTGGCAACCCCCCCCCTCCTATTAGCCCAGGGTGGGTTTGTCTGTAATAAGTAGATTATACTGTCTTAGCTTCTTTTGTTCTTTTGTCAGAACCTTGGGAAGAGTGAATCACCTTTTTGTGTTCAACTTTCGTGGCTTTGAGATTGGGAGATATGTTGCTTGTAATGTGCAAGACCCTAATCAAGATGTGCTGAAACCATCCGCTCCTTATCAGAGGTCTCACCAGAGAACTAAAGAGGCGTGGAAGAAGGTAGCCAACAGTAGCACTGGAGAAGAGTGGATAATACCAGGAGAAAAACCAATCAGGTACAATTGTTGCCTTCTTAAATAAGCCCCACATTTAGTGCTGCTACATTTACCCTTGTTGTTACTTTTAAGGAAAAGCAAAATATTCTTGCCCAAGAAGCTATTACAGTACAATATTCCCAGAGACATTAGGAGATGCTTACTTGATGGTGAAGACTTGAGTTCTACTGTGACGGCATTAAGAGAGGTATAAGATTCTTTGATATATGTCATCACAAATCCTTTTACTCTTTTTGAATGTTTTACACCTTAACATCAGTATGCATATTCTCTATACTGCTCTCAATACATTTCTTTAGATGTTGACATGGAGAATTTGTTTAACAATCAAGAGCTTCTTTAGTTGGGGATTATCTCTGTTATTCTCGTGACTTTTTTGTTTGATTCAGGGGTAATATTGTAAGAAGAAATTAGATACTGGTCACTCTTAAATGTCAGCGGATTAAGGCTCTTAAAAGCTACTCTATGCAGTCCATCTCCAAATTTTGCCGATCCATATGACAGCTATAAAGGGGGTGGGTTTCCAAAGAAACTGTGGTGCTGTGTAAGTGGGAGAGTAAAGCAGGATAATTCACTATAATCATCAACTAAGTTGGTATTATAAAATAATTCAAATAGTACGTGCGCTCTGTTTGGCCATAAAACCATTTTACATGAGCGTATGTAAACACGGTTTTCGTTCCTCTTTCATTAGTTATTTTGTAAAAGAAATGTAAAATGGTTTCTGTGTTTACATAGCCTGATGTAAACACTTGGGAGGTTGGGAGAACACTTGATAAGCTAAAAACCACTCTGCTTCGCGTCGTGGTTTCGTACGCTTATCTCGTGTTCTCCCAACCTCCTGCGTGTTTACATCAGGCTATGTAAACACAGAAACCATTTTACATTTCTTCAATGTAAATTGGCCACTGTAAAGAGTTTCAAAGCTGACATTTTGAAAGACAGCTTGACAGCTAGCCTGGTCACTTAAATGGTTTGTCCCTTTTTTTTTTTTCTTGTGGCAGCCAGTTAATTTGAAGAACTATGCTGCAAGGTTTTCAACACTTCTTTATGCTGAGGAGCTTCAAATGGAAATAGACATGAGGGAATTTGATATGGAAGGGGTAAGATAACCACTTGGACTATAATGCTGGTGAAGGGGGAGGGAAAGGGTTACGGAGAAGAACAATGATATATTGTCTTGTCTTCTGCTTAGGTGAACATGAATGTATGTGGTGAATTTCTCAGTCTCAATGTACCAGGGTTGGCTGAGGGCAGACCCTCCCTTCTGATTGGTGACAAGATTTTAGCATCACTTACAGGTAGACATATTTGTGATGTATTTGGCATTCTACAAATTTTATTTATTAACTTGCTACTTTAAAAATGTCAGGAAGCCTTATGAAATACAGGAGGAGAAGTAAGTTGTGATGTTGTAACATGGTTAGGAGGTAATCTGTATTAGTTGGGGTGAAATGATTATGGTCACACTTTCTGCAAGAGAGACTGGGTAAGGCTCTAAAAAGAATTCAACTCACTCTTCTCATCAAATCATTATTTCTCTTATTTGACTAATGCCAATGACAAGTAATTACTGGATGGGGACAATGCAAAAATGCTAAAAGTAAATTCATGAATTGTTTTGTAATTATACATTTTAAACAATCTGCAAAAGAAGACACTTCTCTCTGAGTTTGCCAAAGTTTGAGAACACTACACAGACAAGGGGCTTGGAAACTAGGCAGACTTTAAACTCAACAAGATAACCCAATATCTGCTGTAGATATTGGATTACCGTTTCAACTTTACTCGCTATTGTATGACTGTATGTTCTCAGCCAATCAGAGTTTTCATAGTAAGTATAATGGAAAATAATTACAGTTCCTCTTCATGCCAGGTGTTTCATCAGAGTCTCCTAAATATGAAGGATATATTCATGAGGTATTTTTTTGTGTATTTTGATTTGATTGCTGTGCGTACATGTATTGTTTACACTCAAAATCATGTTCTTCTGTTGATGTTGATGTTGATGTTTTTATTGTTATTAAACAAGCTATGCTATGTAACCACACTTAATATACAGGTTCATAAGGATGAAATTCTGGTTAAGTTTAACGAGGATTTCCACAACAGATTTGCCATGCAGAAGTGTGATGTGATGTTCTATTTTAACAGGTCAGCAATTTTTTTTCTTTGTTGAAATATAACATATTTACTCCTTATACCCTTATATCAGTATGCATATTCTCCATACTGTTCTCTATACAACTCCTAGGGTACTGACAAGGAGAATTTGTTGAACAATCAAGAGCTTCTTTAGTTTGTGATCTTTTCTTTCATTCTCATGACCTTGTTGTTTGATTTAGCAGTGATACTGTAAGGAGGAATTAGATATTGGTCACTCTTAGGGAAAAAGGGTTGGTGGAACCCTTTCCTATTGATATCTGTTGGGAGTTCGGGAAATGCAACGTGAAAAATAAGAGCCATCGTGCTTTTTACTTTTCTAAGGACTACTCTGAGAAGAGCTCACCGTGCAGTGGAATTTGCCGTATCTCTGGGTGAACAAGGTATTTTCTTGATAAATTAGAACGAAAAATACTTGTCTGTTTCTTTCCAGGCCTTTCGAATTTAGAAATTTCATGCATGTATTAATTATAGGTTAGAATGTGGGGTGCAACTACGTCCTTCATACGGGATGCTACAAATGTAGTATCCCCGAGCGGTAGAGCTGAGTAACGAAATGTATTTGACAGGTATGCGGTCAACAACGTGGGCTTAAGCACGCCAGGTTTAAAACTCAACGAAATTTGCGGAAATAGGGACTGGCATGTAAAACCGAGACATTTTGTCGTCGTTGAAGGATTTTTTCTATTTTCAGTGTTTTGAAGGTGACAATTGAGGTTTGAAAATATTTAGGGGGTATACAAAGTTTATGGAGGTGGTTCTGTAAAAGTGAAGCGTCAAGGGAAACAGCGTCTAGAAGCAGCAGAACGGAAAATCAAACGTGCAAACGACTCAAAATCCGTTTTCCGCGCCGAAGCCTAGCGCAAGCGCAGACGTTATTCAGCTCTGCCTTCCCAGGCAGGGTTCCTCCTTCTCGTCTTCCCTCAGGTTTCTGTGGCATTCTCAACACAGACCCGTTTAAACTCCTGAGTGCAGAGGAACTGTGAAAGAGGTGTCTTATCCAAGAACACAGTAGAATTGACCCAATGAAGATTCAAAGCCGGACCTTGGGACCTGAGCCTGGTTTATGGAAACTTTGTTAACACTAATCCTGGGTTAACAGTGTTCAAACCTACTTTTTGTCCCTTTGTTTTCATCTGGATTAGTGTCGTTCACCAATATTCTAGAATGCAATAAATCTGCTGTTTCACATTTCATTTTAATCATTTTTGAAGTTTAATTTCTGTCTTTTTCTTCTTTGACACAGTATTATTTCCAAGGAATTTGTCACCAAAGTTGCCAGTTTTGACTCTAACATTGCCCATCTCGTCACCAAAAGGACGGAACACCGACATTGAGAAAGGTATTTTTGAGCCCCAACGAAAACTGATCTGATTCACCTAAGGCCGTCAGTTGCTTATCAGAAGTTACATCTTATTCTTCCGGGTACATGAGTGAACCTATGTGTTTCTTTTTGATACTGCAGTTACAGTAGACTCTCTAAGAGCTGCCAATGAGAGAAGGCAGCCGACCGAAACCGTACACTACTTTAACCTTTATTTACGAAAGTGCTGTTCAAATATCGTACTCTTATTCAAATACCATTGATTTAATTTCCACAGAAGCTGTTTTCTTTTCTTTTTTTTTTAGTGTAATTGAATGCATGATTTACCAATAACAAGTTTATAGTTTTTGGATCGATTCCCTGGGATATTTTGACCTTTTAAACCCTAAGAGTGACTAGCATCTAATTTCTCCTACAATATCACTTCTGAATCAACATTAGGTCACGAGAATGAAGGAAATGATTACCAGCTTTTGATCATTAAACAGAAACTCCTTGTCAGCACCTTAGGAACTGTTTAAAGAACAGTATGAAGAATATAAATAATGACTTTAGGGTGTAAAGGGTAAACTGGAAATTTCCCGGTCGTGCGTGTAATCTTTCGAAGCAATTTTGAGTCCATGACAACTTGGCCGCCTACGGTTTAGTATCTGTCTTCCCATTTAAACTTATATACATCTAATACTGATTTTCAAGCAGATTCACCAACAAGAACACAAAGTGAGTCTGCGAAGGAACTCAAACCGGCCGATGTCCTGTACAATCCTTCCCTTAATGAGCGTCAGATGGCAGCAGTTAATCGTATTGTAAGTGGCCAGTGTCGTCCCACGCCATATCTACTGTTTGGACCTCCTGGCACCGGGAAAACGATTACCGTTGTGGAGGCCATCCTTCAGGTATAACCACGGTTTAATTGTATCATTAGGGGAAATGGTTTGAGGCCTAATTCTATGATATATTCGTCCTTATCGTCTCAGACGTCTAAAAATGAAGAGGACAAAAAGGAAAGGAAGATAAAAGAAAACTTTCGGGACTTAAAGGCTGATTAAAAAAGTGGAACCCTTTCCAAAAGATAACGAAAACTTGACTGTCGGTACGACTTGATCATCAGGGTCGAGTTTATGGTAGTCAGCGGTCATTGTCAAAAATGCAGTGTCAGGTGGAGCGACGTCGGGCATGCGCAAGGGGCTCAATTTTGGCCGCCCACGCGCCAGTTTCCCGCTTAAATTTCAAACTAAGGATAAGCGCGCCAGGTTTAAGGATCATTAAGAAACAACAGCTGTCTCGCCAAATAAGGGAAAGACAATTGAAACTTGATATAGGTTTTGTGGTTGTTTGCAACTTGAGGGAAACAGCCTGAGAGCACGACCTAGTTTTAATAGCAAGGGCAACCAACAACGTTCGCACATGCGCAGACGTTTGACCGCTGTATTTAGCTGGTATCTTTGAGATCCTCCAGAAGTGTTGAGATCATCCAAGTGTTGATAACATCGTATGTCAGTGCGGTACGGTGTTCAACTGTAATTTATTTTTCTGCCTTCTGTTTTTTGTTCAGATTTTTCACAGAATCCCCTCCAGCCGCGTCCTAGCGTGTGCTCCGTCGAACAGTGCTTCTGATTTGATTGTAAGTAGCAAATTTGAAGCAAATTTCTGCTGTTGTCTCGGTTCTCTCTTATTACAACTTTTCTTTGATCTTAAATGTTTATCTATACACTCAGTTATTAAATTCCTCACGAATACGCTGACTTCACGAAAGTGCCAAAAATGAGATTTTAACACAAAAACATTACTGCTAATCTACAACTTTAAGACACTAACTAAACCTCCTTTCCATGGGTGAGCTTTCTCACCTTATAAAACTATGGAGAAGTAACTACCTAGAATAGCTGAGTGATAAAGAGCTTCTAAAGCCAATGTTTCGAGCGGTAGCTCTTCGCTCTGACGAAGGGTTAAAGCTCCAAACGCCAGCTTTAGAAAACTCTTTACGGTGGCCAATTTACAATATCAACTCAGTTGATAAAACCAAATTACTTTGTTACACTCCCCACTGACGCAGCACCACAGTTTTTTTTAGAAACTTATCCCCGTTATGATTTTGTGTTGTTACTGTTACAGGGTAGGCTGTTCTAGGGGATTACGCCGCTATAGTATCAGCTTTTATCTTACAAATAGTTTGTTCGCAAAGGAGGAGCAGCTTGTTTGTTCAAAGATACCTTCATTGTCACACCTTCCACTCCCAAGAATAAACCATAAATTCTCTGCACTGTCTCTCATACATACTTTTGATCGGTGTTTTGGAAATTTGGTGCTAAATCACACAATATCCTTTGATGATATATTTTTTTTCTTCTCATCACCTCCTAGTTAATCTCGGTACTTAAGGGTTAACATGTGTTCAAGTTGACATTTGATTTCTGTTATTTGCGTTGTAAGGCCGAACGTCTTCATATGAGCGGTTACATCCAAGCGGGAGACATGATACGCCTCAATGCGGCCCAGAGAGTGCAGAATATCCCAGAAAGCATCAGTCCGTACTGTATTGACACAGATCAGTTGGAAATGGCGTCACGCTATCGCATTATAGTCAGCACATGCAGCACAGCTGGTCAGCTTTATTCGTTAGGATTGCGGCCTGGCCACATAACTCATGTATTCATTGATGAGGTTTGTAGGATTGATATGCGAGCCGTCTGAGTGTGTCTGTTTTTAGTGAGGTGAAGCTTTTATTCCTCTTTGTAGAGAGCAAACTTTCGATGTCTTCCTGGCTGATTTTATGCTGTCTTTCCTGGTTCAGACGTCGTTACGTTTAAGACCTCGATAAGATTCAGACGTTGTTACGTTAACGGCTTCGTGAAATTAAAGACGTCGTTGAGTCAATGGCAGCTTTCATCCATACTGTTTTCTGAATTTATCACAAATTTTAACAAGCGTCGGTCAAAGAAAGATTTTGAGTCCCCGTGAGGAATCGAACCTCAGACCTTCGTATTCCGCGCTCCGACGCTCTACCACTGAGCCACAGAGACTCTACGATGAGTGAGGTCTATAACTAAGTTCATATGACACACGTCCTGCATACTGCTTGGATCAGCAATGTCGATAGCGTTATGAAATCGTTGTTGTTTCTCCAGGCAGGGCAAGCTACCGAACCAGAGTGTCTTGTTGCTCTTGGTCTGGCTGCAGGAGAAGATGGTCAGGTTTGTTGTGAAATCAGTTCAAGTTAGAAAGGATTTCAACTTCTAGGGGAAGGTTTCAATAGGGGAGGGAAGAGGCAACTTATCAGGCGAAAATAAGGAATGTGTGAATTGGGTCCCAGAAAAACAAAAGTCTATTGATCTTCAGGGTCTTGGAGCGTAAAAAGAGAAGGAATTAAATCCTCCGCCACCCCTCCCCCCTCAGTTGGAGTACAAGTCTCTTAAAAGCCCTTCCCCGGTTATTTTATCTTTCTATTTTATCTTTCGTCGGCAGCCATTTATACTCATTGCTGGATGCTAAGATCAGGTTTGTGAAAGCAGACACGCAAAGGAGGGTTCAAAATATGAGTTTGATGATGTAGCAACGCGAAAAAGAGGCAGAGGTACACCAAAAAGGAAATAAGGTTGGCTACAGATGGAGACGGTCAAATCGTATGGCAAACAGCAATGTGTGCCTCCTTTACCCTTGTTTTAAAAGTCCGTTGATTCGGATCTCAGAAAAAAGCCTATTTTTTTTAAAAATTCTAGATTATTTTGGCTGGTGATCCTTTCCAACTCGGCCCAGTTCTCCAATCTCGTGTGGCAGCCGCATACGGACTGAACATCTCTCTACTGGAGCGTTTAATGAACAGGCCACTGTACTGCCGAGACGAAGACAAGTTTGTGGACCACGGATGCTATGATCCTCTTTTAGTGACAAAACTTGTGAATAATTACCGATCACACCCTGCTGTGCTTAAACTACCCTCGGCGGTGTTTTATCATGATGAGCTACAGCCATGTGCTGATGTGAACATGAGGGAAAGTTTGAATCACTGGGAAAAGTTGCCACGCAAAGGATTTCCGGTGCTCTTTCATGGGCTCAAGGTAAGCAGAGTGTTTATCAAGTTTTGAGTTCTTGAAACAAGGACGAAATTTGCGATCCAGTTATTAAGACCTGTTAAAATGTGTGGGAAACAAAATAAATCCTTGAAAAAAAAAAAAAAGTAAGGGGAAAATTGCAAGATAAGATTTGGCTATCTTGGCCAAGACATGATTTTATTGCGATGAGAGAATTTTCTATGTAAAGGCAAGCTCTCCAAAACCGCGTTACTTCGTTGGGATCATGTATCACTCATATTCGGATGTCTAAAAATTAAAAAGTAATGGCCAAGAAAAGATCTTGAAGAAGTTTTGCATACGAACTGGTTCAAGTTTATTTTGTTAGCTCTCGCAGTTACACATAGAACTTTTGTGCGATAAGCATCCTGGATCAATATCAGTATCTGGGCAACTGCCCACTTACCCCTCCCCTAACCCAACATTAACCCTAGCTTGTTATCAGTTGACTGTTGTTGAGTTAGGGGAGGGGTAGGTGGGCAGTTGCCCAGATACTGATATTAATCCAACATCCTTACAAAAAAAAATAGAATATGAACCATTGGTGCCGTTTTGAAATGCCCGTTTCAGAACAGATACGAGAGAAAAATTACGAACTAGTTAAGCGATGCACATGCTATCTGATGTTTTTCATAACTATAAAAGTTAAGAAACGATTTGAAGTGGCAAGGATTAGCTATACCGAGAGCATCTTGTTAGTTTGCCAACAAATTTTTTAAAATTTTTATCAACTGTTATGAATTTTTTTAAGGGGGAAGATCTTCGTGAGGGCAACAGTCCATCATGGTTCAACCCTGTGGAAGCAGTTCAAGTTGTGAAATATTTACAGTCTCTAAGGTCCGACAACAACTTCCCTCTTAAACTCACAGATATTGGTGTAATCACACCTTACAGAAAACAGGTTCGTTCGGTGAAGCCCTAAATTTATTCCTGAGTGAGTGAGATAACCACAAGGGAAGTTACAGGGAAACATTGTGTACAGAGATCCTGCAATATGCCTCGTTAGAATTAAGTGAAGGACGGCGAGCGTGAGTGCACTTGCAAATGTTGCGGATACTGTGAGGATTAGCAGTGCCGAAATGCTGAAAGCATCTTGAATAGAGATGGGGTCAGCTTGCCCAACAAATTTTATGCTACATGTATCAACGAGTGTTCCTTGTTAGATATCGGTATTAGCATTTATTTTTTAAGCTCGATCCACACGGGTCTTTATTTTATGTGACTTTTCTTTATCGTGCCATTAAGGTTGAAAAGCTTCGTCTCTTGCTCGATCGCTTGGGATTAGGTGAAGTAAAAGTTGGATCCGTAGAGGAATTTCAGGGACAGGAAAGGCTCGCCATCGTCATTTCAACGGTACGACGCAAGAGTTACTCTCTTCCAAAACTCATTTTTAGCTAACTGATGCGTCCTACTTCAGTGAAGTCAGATTATTTCTGCCTTCAAAGAAAGTCAAACCATTAGCTTCTCACCGTCGCTAAGTCCTTTCACTCCTAGAAATAACCAATAAACCCGGTTTTTATTCTGATGTGGTGCCATATGCAGAGGGGCAAATAAACGTAAATGGAGAAAAATGAACTTCACGTTAACAGCAGAGAACGGTCTTATGTGATCCTGATCGACTATGATTGGTTGCAGGTTCGCTCTAACGAGTCAATGGTCGGTGTTGATGTACGTCACAGCGTCGGCTTTCTGAGTAATCCCAAGAGGTTTAACGTGGCTATCACCCGTGCCCAGGCTCTGCTTGTTGTTGTTGGAAATCCTTATGTACTTTGCCAGGTTAGAAGTGTCTGTGAGAATCTAATAAACTTTTGGTTAAAGTTCAGGCTTTGTTGTTTTTGCCGCCATTTGTAACTAACTCCCTTTATTCGATATAAGACTGAATTGCTTGCAATACTCCACTGAAAATTCCTCTGAATATATCCTAACGCGAGTTAATGTTTATTAAGGTATTTCTGTCATGTAACACCGGGATTCATTTTGGTTTGCAGGATCCTTACTGGTGCTGCCTTCTTCAGTACTGTGTCATGAATGATGCTTATGTTGGTTGTGATCTACCATCCCTTGAACAACAATTTCTAACGGTGACCAGTTTTCTTAACCTTAAACATGTTGAGAAATACATAGAATTTTCACTAGTTTTATCACCTAGATCCTCGTTGAGGTCTGGTTGACTCTTTTAAAATTCAAACGATTTCTGAATATAGCTGCATGTAATCATCATTAGTGTGACTTTTGTTAAAAAATCCATTTACGAAAAAAGAAGCCAGATTCCAAATTCGTAGAAAATATGTATTAAACTTGTTGAATGAACCGCAACATTTGGTTAAAATGAAAACTCAAAAATTTCTTAAAATTCCAAATAAAGGAGTTACAAATTTACGCGAACGAAAGCTCTAAAACAACTAAAACTCCGCGAAAATAAACTGAAAGTAGGTGAAAAATGCCCACGTCAGTTTTCAATTGTCAACGTTAGAGTTCTTTGACGTGATTGGCTAATTTTGTGTTCACGCGCGGTGCGCGTGAATGCAAAAGGAATGCCAAGCGGGGAGGAAGAGAAAGCTTGTTACTTGATTAAGAGATTTTCTACAACTTTGTTCACCATTTTCGTCACCTTTTATGCGTTAAAGAAAACTTGGCTGCTCCTTTTTTTAAGCATTTTGTGAATCTTTTGACTTTCGTGAGAGTTTTGAGCTGTTATAAACTTTTTCAACTGATGCCTCTCGGGACTTGATTTTAATATTTCTTGTACTTATGTAAGGTGACATTGCTCTTGTATTTCGTGACAGGAGGAATTCTACGCCGCCGCAAAGCTACTCAACAGAACGTTGGCAGCAAATGAGAAATCGCCGGAAAATGCAAATAGTGCCAGGCCACAAGAGCTTATGCAAAGCAGTATATCAGAGAAAGAAACCAATGTAACAATACTTCAGTGTTCTGACGCTTTTGCAAACTGCGCAAACACGCAAGCCAATAGTATGAAGGAAAAAGGGGAAGATTCCTCAGACTTTCTTAGCACCTCGTTTAGTCGAGAATCTACGAAACAACCTCATAACGCTTGTGGTACGTCTCCACTTCAACGTACAAATCAGACGCCCTCTAAAGAGAATAATTCTACAAAATCGGCTCATGATGAAGCAAGTCTATACACGTGGCCAGTAGGAGTGGAACACGAGGTGCATACCAATACAGGAATGGCACCAGAATTTTTGACCAAGGAGCAAGATTTGGAGGATGACCTTGAAGAATTTGTGCTTCAACCCCGAAATAACAAACACTAATCTAAAAAAGGCTGAATACTTTTGAACTTCCTCCTTGACAATAAAAATATTATTTTAAAGAACAGCATTTCTTTGTAATTATTTCTGTTGCTGTTTTTTCCATCGGAACGGGAACTTGGCCAGCTAGATTTTAAGTCAACCACAAAAAAAGCTAAAGAAGGAACATTTTAATACCGATTGCGGAGGCTGTGCGGAGAAAAAAGGGCAGAATTGGGTCTTCACGTAAGAAGACACAATAAAATAATTTTTTTTCACACTTTGTCCTGATTTTAAGATCAACCTTTAGATTGAGACCTTGTTATAGATTTAAAAGTGATAGAAGAAAGTGATAGTCATTTGTTGTAAAAGGTAGGTTTTCTCAGTTGAAATTTCTAGTCGATGCTACCCTGGTTTCTTCGCTACAGTTTACATATCCATCACTTTCAGTGTTCGTCGAATGATCGTCGATCTGAATTTCAACCTTCTTTGAGACTATCTTATTGTCATTTTCAATCATACTCAATTCCCTTTTGTCGAGATCTTAAGCTTCATCTTCAGTTTTCTCTGAATCCATCTTGCTCTCAGTTGCAGTCATCTTAAGGCCTGTCTCGACGGCATTTTCAGTCCTCGTCGAATCATCACTGGCCTCATTTTCAAGCATCTTATTTTCAGTCTTCTCCAAGCCCATATAGACATCCTTATCATCTGTCGTCGAATCGTCTGTGGTCTCGTTTTCAATCGCACGAGGGTCCATCTTGTTGTCATTTTCAGTCGTTTTTAAGTCCGTTATGACGCAAATTTTAGGTGTCGAGTCATTGGTCTCATTTTCAGTCGTCTTTGAAACCATCTTTGTGACATCTTCAGTCGTCTCCAGGCTCGATTCGACATCATTTTCAGTCACCCTTAAATCCTCAATATTATTTTCCGCTGTCTTCGAGTCCATGTTGGTTTCATCTTCAACCGTCGCCAAGGCTGATCCGGCATCATGTTCAGTTATCGTCGAATCATTCATGCTCTCATTTTCAGATGTTTCCAATCCCGTATCGATGTCATTTTCAGGGGTTGTAGTCTGTGAGACTGTCATGTTGTCATTTTCAGCCGTTTGCAAGCCCGTCTCGACGGCATCATCAGTTATCTTCGAGTCATCCTTGATCTCATTTTCAGTTCTGGTCGAATCCATGTTGGTGTCCATGTTGGTGTCATCTTCAACCGTCGCCAAGGCTGACTCGGCATCATGTTCAGTTATCGTCGAATCGTTCCTGCTTTCATTTTCAGATGTTTCCAATCCCGTATCGATCTCATTCTTAGGGGTTGTAGTCTGTGAGACTGTCATGTTGTCATTTTCAGCCGTTTGCAAGCCCGTCTCGACGGCATCATCAGTTGTCTTCGAGTCATCCTTGATCTCATTTTCAGTTCTGGTCGAATCCATGTTGGTGTCCATGTTGGTGTCATCTTCAACCGTCACCAAGGCTGACTCGGCATCATGTTCAGCTATAGTCGAATCATTCCTGCTTTCATTTTCAGATGTTTCCAATCCCGTATCGATGTCATGTTTAGGGGTTGCAGTCTGTGAGACTGTCATGTTGTCATTTTCAGCCGTTTGCAAGCCCGTCTCGACGGCATCATCAGTTGTCTTCGAGTCATCCTTGATCTCATTTTCAGTTCTGGTCGAGTCCATGTTGGTGTCCATGTTGGTGTCATCTTCAACCGTCGCCAAGGCTGACCCGGTATCATGTTCAGTTATCGTTGAATCATTCATGCTTTCATTTTCAGATATTTCCAATCCCGTATCGATGTCATTTTTAGGGGTTGCAGTCTGTGAGACTGTCATGTTGTCATTTTCAGCCGTTTGCAAGCCCGTCTCGACGTCATTTGTCTTCGAGTCATCCTTGATCTCATTTTCAGTTCTGGTCGAATCCACCTTGCTGTAGTTTTCAGTTGTCTTTATGACTGACTTGGAGTTATTTCCGGTTGTTATCGAATCTTTCATGGTTCCATTTTCTTTGGTTTTAGAATCGATGTCGACGTCGATGTCATAAGCACTCGTTTTGGTGTCATTATGGATGGTCACTGAGACCGTATTTGTGTCATCTACAGCTGTTTCGACGGCATCATCAGTAGTCTTCGAATCATCCTTGATCTCATTTTCAGTTCTGGTCGAATCCACCTTGTTGTAGTTTTCAGTTGTCTTTATGAGTGACTTTGGGTCCATTACGTTATCATTTTCATTTGTCATTGAGTCCTTCCTTATTTCAGCCACCCTTGTCATCAAGGTAGCCTTAAGGTTATTTCGATGTTCCATTTCTTGATGCAACTGTCGCGCCATTTCCACATTCTTATCGATTTTAGTCGGCTTCATGGCAATTTTAAAGTCATTTTCAGTAGTCCTCGAGGTTCCTTGTTTGGAACAACACAAGCAACTCGGTTCTTCAACCTCTTCCTCTTCGACTCCCATTGTTGCATGGATCTCTTTGATGAGTGCTCGCCGAAGTCTTTCCTCGCTGGTCATTTCCCTGGGAGCGTTCCTACAAATATCGAATGCACACCATCAAAGATGTTAGGTGAACAATCTGATCAAAGGAAAATGTTCAGTCATTTTTACTGTTTTGTTTTGCTCTTAAGTAATATTACTGTCTGTTATTATTGGTTTGGAGCTCGGAACGCGGATGCCGTAGCTCCTGAGAAAGAGCATATGGTATCTAATCAACCCTGTTACTCCCAAGATTCCTTGCTGTCTGCCGTGCAATTCTTATGATGATAGTTCAGAGAATTGGTATTGGATCAGCTGATAACCCCCTTAGCTTTTTCTTCATTGTCATCACTTGTCTACTCGATATTGTATTGATATTTTGTGGGGGAAATTTTGTTTTAGTCAGTGGGAATAGAATGGTTCTGGTCCTAACGCCATGACAGCCAGGTCTGCACAGCGACATGAAAATTGAATTACGTACTGTCAACTTTCCAAAGAAATATAATACCAAGATGAGTCCATTTTTTGGTTAAATAATTTTTTTTTAATAAGCTTTTAAATGTTTTGAAATGGGTGGGAAAGTTGTCATCAACCACCTGAAACGTATCAGGTGGTTGATGATAAACGCTCTTGCATCAATGAGTGAGATGTCTGTTTACTTATACCGCACAGAAACTAAATCCTAAGTTGTAATTGATATTTGTAAACTACCTACCCCCATAGACAAACAGCTACAACATTTATCAGCACAACACAGCCTGCAACGATCGCTATCATAACTCCAATGTTTGATTTGTTTTCTCTCCATTTGGTCGGTTTCTTTGATTTTTCTTCAGAAGGTTCTTGTATTTCTTGTATTGGATCCTTTGATCTCAGTGCTGGAATGACGGGAGAAAAGGAAATTTCAATGCGTAGGGTGTGTTCGGCATTTTGTAATAGCGACACATTTTAAAACAACAGTTGTGGCTTTTTGTAATAAGTTACGCATTTTGTAATACATGTACGCATGGCAGTATTTTGTAATAACGGCGAGCTACGCATTTGTAATAGAGGCTGCCGTATTTTGCTATAATCGTCGGTCTACGAAATTTGTAACAGCATCCTGCAGCAAATTAAATTTTTTTTCTCGAGTCTTGCAAAAAAGTATTGTCCTACAGATTGGGTATTTGCAGTTTTCCTCCTCTGAATAATGATTTGTCAAGCATCAATTTTAGAGCCTTAAAGAAGAAAGAGTTACATTACTTAAACAGCTACTTCAACTCAATGATAAGTTCCAGGAAACATTTCCGCAGCAATATCTCGGAAGAACAAGGAGCGATATTCGACGATAATCGTTTGCATTACTTTTGGACAGTGCTATAAGTTTTTGCGACAAAATTGAGATTATTACAATTTGCGTCAACATGTTACAACTGAATTGAGCAGACCGACGATTATTACAAAATGCTCTTGCGTTTATTACAGATTATGTAACAAAATACGTAGCTCATTCTCATTGCAAAACGCTTGGCAAATTATTACAAAATGCCACCACCGTCATCTCAAATTGCGTAGGTTGTTACAAATGCGTCGTCATTAGAAAATGCCGCACAACAAGGTGTCTGAATAAGTCTTTCAAACCTGAATTTGTTTAACCCTTTTACTCCTATGGGTGACCAAGACAGAATTTCTCCTTACAATACCGATACAATATCAACCAGATAAGTGATGAGAATAAAGAAAAATATATATTTGAGAATTATTAGTTGATCCAATACTAAATGTCTGAAGTAACATCATCAGAAGTTCGTTACATCAGATTTACTTACGAAGGCACTTTTTAGTTGGGTGTCTTTTAAAACCTTCCCTACAGGAGCAATAGTACTGAGCCGGTGCTGGCAACCATTTGGTGAGGTATATTTGGTAACAGACTTCAAGTTGGTCGTCACAATCAACTTCAAAATATCGGCAAGCATCCATTCCTACGTGGATGATATCATTGGTTAGAACTAATGGATTATAACTTAATATTTATTGATGAATGTCGTTCTTACGGCAGCTGAGCGTCAGATACACAGGCCTACCTTTCACCCGTACATTTTGATACTCAAAAGTCTTCCTAAGCTTTGAAATCTGAACTGTTACTCTTCTGTTATTTGTGTCTGCTACGGTGAAATTGAATCGTGCCACAATTTTTCCAGTATGAAAATTTCCCGGTGGAACCTCGACCAACACAGTTTTCCCAATAGTGAGCTCGCTCCATTTTGGTATTTTATCCAAGTAGATCGTATTTACAAGTGACGGGAACTTGAATGTGGTTGAATCTCTTCTGGAGTCCGATTTGAAATGTACTTCCCCCATCGCAGAAACGAGGCTGTAACCCACGATTTGACCTCGTTCCCATGTTGGCGGCGTCTTGTCATGGAATAAACCAAACGCAGAAACAATCTTGGAGTTGTTAACTGTAAGCAAATGTTTATGGGTTGAGTTCGGTTACTATGTATATTTCTTTCTTTTTTATGTATCTTGTAACGTGGAAAGTCAGTTCAGCAATCCCTAGTTATAACTCCGAGAAGTAAATTCAACTCACCTCAGTATTTCATACCTCTTACTTACCTCGTTTTCTCGGTCCGCACAGCAAGTTACGGACCGAGTTTCTTTGCTCGGATTTATGGCCCGCGCTTCGTGCTTGGGCCATGAACCCCAGCTGGAAAAGGAGGATCTGTGCCTTGGAAATTAGGTCAATAAGATATTTGTTGTATCTCTGGGTTCAAGTAGAGGGGAAGGATTTCAATCAAACAAAGTTTTGAGTTTAGCGAGCCTCACAGTGAAATAAGACCCGCTTGATTCACCAGTCATAGCATACCTTCTAACTGAGAGATAAAATGAAGTATGTTATCTACTGAGACAACAGAAATTTGTCAGCAAGAATGTGTTATCTTGATGTAACGCAACTACTCTTCACTAATAAGCAAGGAATTTATGACGGCTAGAAGTGAGGCGAACTAGTCAAATCTTTAGAGGGAAAAGCCAAACAAGATCGAGCACGCGCTTTGTTCGAAGGAAACCTCGACGCGAAGTCAAGAATGAGACCTTCAATTTTCGCTCTCATTTGATAATCAATTGATGTCACAATGAGTAGAGCAACATATTCAACTTACATGGTTGTATCTTGTCGTCGACGTTGAAACAAAAGGTGCAACAGAATTTCCAGATTATCAAAAAAAATGTGCACAACTTCGATGTGTACATCTTCAGCCTATTGGCTTCATGTATTACGTACGTCATAAGGCTGATGAATTGAATTAGAACCAGACAGTAAATGCGAGTTAATTAAAATTGATGAAGCAATTGATTCTAATCGTCCCAAGTTATGCAGTAAATAACATTGGCGGAGGTATTTACTGCATAACTTGCACTTATTGCAATAAGTTATACATTAGCGAAACAGGAAGACTATTAGACGACCGATTCCAAGAACACCTTCGCGACGTGGAAAGAAATGACAAGGACGCATCCAAACCAGTCGCTAGACACTTTAATCTCCCTAATCATTCTAAACAGCGTATAGCAGTTTGCGACTTTTCCATACATCTAGGCAGTTCGGAAAGCCACAAAACACTAGAACAAAAATTTATCTTCCAAATCGGCCCCCTTTAAATCCCCACGGAATCAACGAGCGCTTTTCATTCAACTAATTTATTCCTGTTTTCTTGTCACCATATTCCCACCAATAGCGTATCTCCACTTTCTGCATATAAACCCACACATAACTCACAATTCCTTCAATCGCTTCGACGAAGGACTGACGCTCGAAACGTCGGCTTTTTTTCCCTTTACGGTGGCTAATTTACGTTTCCAACTCAGTTGTTAACACTAAATTACCTGCTATATCTCATACCGACGCAGCACCACAGTTTCTTTAGAAACTTACCCCCTTTATTCGTTTTTTGATGCATCGCAACTTGGATATATAGAGAGATACTATATATGTATATTAAAATTCGTGTTACACATGATAAGGCTATTAGGAAATAGCCGCGTTGTACATGATAAAACTATTCTTCAGTCTATTTGTTCTGCAAAAAGGTACGTTAATTACACCAATTAATTGAATTTGTGAATAGAAATCGCTCTTGCGCACTTTCCATGGAATAAACTCTATTTAGTTGGTGGTAAAATAACTTTGATTCTTTCCGTCGTTTATGACAACATTAAGCTTGACGAGTCCAGTTTTCCACGTTATCGAAGAAAGAGGGAGAAATGGGGATGAATTTATTTCTTTATTAAGAGAGAAGAGTATTTCTAAAAGATTTTGTGTTCATGAGGTCACTTGAGAACTGAGAGGGAATAAAGGAAACGAAAATAAGGATTTTTGAAAACAAATTTTCAAAATGACTCCAAGGAGAATACAAGAGTGTAGTTCCATTCGCACGGGCGTTCCCTAGATTTTTTTTAACCCTTCAACTCCCATGAGTGACCAAGACAGAATTTCTCCTTACAATATCAATACAATATCAAGCAGACGAGTGACGAGAATACATAGAGTTATCAATTAGGGGATAATGAGTTGATTCAATACCAAATTCTCCAAACTAACATCACAAGAACTGTATGGCAGACAGTAAGGAGAATTACTAATGAGATCTTGGGAGTTAAAGGGTTAAACATTCATTGGTTTTAAAAAATAGGAAAACGTAAACTTAAAATCTAATTTTCACCCTTTTTCGGCGGGGGGTATGGGTGGGGTTGTGAGTGAC